AAAAACACGGCTTGCAAAGCGAACAAGAGGGGATTTTAATTTGATGAGGATGAGAGAAGCGTGAGAGATGGAGGGAGCCCGGAGAGAGATTCCTCAGCTTGGAGATAAATGCTGCGCAGCATCCTGAGAGGAAAGCTTTCGAAGATGAAGCACCGTCATGAGAAAAAACAGCACTCACCTCCTGTCTAAAGCATGTGAACGCATCTCTGCGCTCGGTCCTTTTCACTGTGAGAGGGAGCTCTGCTGGTGCTCTGCGCTCGCCACCGGTCTAAATGATCTCCATGATTTATGCGGGAGCAGATCATTGGCTGTCAGAAAAGTGGGATAAACACTCATTGTAAAGGCAGTGAGTAGCCAGGCGATTTTTTTTGTGTCTTCCCACTGCGCATGGATGTTCTTTCCCTCTCTCTTCACTCTCCTATTCGACTCTCTCAAGAGACTCTCCCCCCCCCCCCTCCACTCCTCGCAATCCCACAAAACCTCCCCCCTTTTCCCCCCAAAGCACAACTCTCCTCGCCAAGGTGCCACTAACAGTTTCTGCAAACCCTGCCTTCTCATGGGTTCTTTCCACCCTGCGCTCTTCCACTTTCTCCAGTTTTTTTTTCAGTCTTAAAGGAACAATGTATTCGCCTCCCTAGACCCCCACATCCTGCAGCTCATGATGAGGAGTCTTGGGCAAAACTAATTACAGGTTAGCGTCGGAGCAGCGGGACAGACTTCAATAATTCATGAGCTCAATTTAAGGGGTGACGGCAGAAGTGTACCTGAAGAAAACCGAGCCGAATTAGATTTGTGTCTATCTAGGAATAAAGGTGGCAGAAATATAACAGGATATTAAGTAATGCCAGATGTTTATCGATGCTTCTCAGCGGCCGAGGACATGTGACAGCATCAACAGGTCTCAAGGTGCCTGGCCTGTTACTGCAAAACAGGGAAGTCATATGTTTACAGAAGAGAAGAGTAAGCTAGTTAAATAGAGCAGACATCTGGCCAAAGGCTCTTGCTTAAAAGCAATATAACCCTATGAAATCCTTTAATAAAGGTAATGGTTGTGTTTTGGCTTGAGAATGAGTACACAAGGCTCAACAAATCTGAGTTGATTCAATCTTGAAAATGGCAATCCAACCTTTTAGATATAGAATGTTCTTTTTATGCAATGAGGACGTATTTCATGTACAGTATCTCGCAAGGGGGAATTTGGTTTCTTTTCCCGATCTTACTACAGATCTTATTGGCCCTTCTATAGTGTTTTATTTGTCTGATAGTTTCTAGATTTGTTTATCTTCACAGTCAACTTGTTTTTGAGATGTTTACATTTTAGAATTGTTTTAACATTTCCCAAATTGGGATCAATAATGTACCTCTAATCTAATATGATCTTATCTGCTGAAAGCTAGCCAGCTAACCTAGTCATTTCAAATATAGTGACGACACAGACAATTGGCCAACTTTATTTTACGCGAATATCCAAAAGCGGTATGGAAAGTTTCAACAATCCGTACAATTACTTCCTACAGAATTCCACATGGTTTGTTTTCAAGAATCTGTGAGAATTTAGAGCCAATTTGTAAATGGAAAATAAGTAATCGTAGATGTCAGAGTCCAGTTGTTGGTGAACAGACAGCAGTGAGTTTTCTCAAAGGCTTGTCACTGCAGGTTGCATAACTCGTGGCGTATCGTGTCATTTACTCCGCGTCAAACCTGCTGTCGAACACGCAGAGCATGGAGTGAGCCTTTTCAGGGCAATAAGCACTATTTATAATGAATGAGACAAAACAAAGGACTTATAACTTATTCAAAAAGCTGTGACTTTGACATCTTCTCACAAAGCACGATCTATGACGTCCATATGAAGATATGCAAGTATTTTCATGTGATTTATAGGAACATTTACAAACATTTTGCAGCTTGCATTATGATTTTATTAACGGTTTGATTAAAGAAGATTACATTGCCTATGATTTATAATGCATGCTAAACAGGAATGGTGAATCCAAGCTACTTTTGAATGAAAAATAAATAATTTTCTCTCATCTAAAGGAGAGGTTGAATTTATAAATACTAAAGTGCACTCATCCTCGAGGTTATACTGATCTTTATTCAAGTATTAAACCATTTTATTTTAACCAATGTTATGTGAAAACATTACAACAGCAATGTCCCTTATGGGTATTATGATGTTAATTTTGACGTTTTAAAATTCATATTTAAATATGTTTTTATGGGTTATCTTTTTTCAAGTGTCACTGTCATGCATTTACAGTAGGCAAACTTCTGAAAAAAGTTCCCAACTATTTTCAGATGTTTTCTGTGACTGAGCTCCAGTAAATCCGCCCCTCAGCAGTAATCTGAACACCTGTGTTGCCTGAAGTTCCCGTGATAAATTAGTGACGACAATGAAAACCTTCAGTCGCAGGTGCATTATCTGTGCTATTTGAATTTCCTTCCCGAGGCTCTTCGTGCAAATGCTGACTTTTAGAGTTTGCAGTCTTTGTCAATCTGAGTTTTCGGTGAGCACGATTTAAGTGCACTGAGAGAGCTGTAAACGGAGGGACTGTGGAGGAGTAAATATCAGCGCAGATAGCCTCATATTCAGATGTTTATTGCTAATCCTGCGGCCTGCATCAGTTGGAAGCAATTATTCATGAAGGTTTCATTGTTTACTGGAGTCTGTAAGAGTTTGATGTACTGCTTTGTTCTGCGCTCTGCTGTTCTACATTTACCACCTGCTCACACTGCTGCAATTTGTATACAAATCATATGATCTGATGAATAAAAGAATGAGACAACTTTTCTCTAAAATTACAACTATTAATTCTGCTTTTTGGGGTTTTACCCTTCCTGTAGTGTGTTCTAAAGGTTTTGATGCATGTAAATGGTCTGCAAAGGCTAAAATCCCTGTGTTCCCCCCCTAGAATAAGAATAGATAAGATGCCTGCAACGTCTCCATTGGACTCCTTTGTTTACTTCCCGAACATGACATCACTATGTAACACTTGCACTTCTATTGGCTAGCGCTCCAACACACATCTAAGTTGTTGACCAATCACAACAGAGCCGGCCAGCTAACCAATCAGAGCAGACTGGGCTCTGGTTTCAGACAGAGGGTGAAAAGAGGTGCTGCAGCACAGGCAGTATGAGAAAAATAAAGAGCTTTTTGAACATTAAAGCATGGAGACACGTCACAGTAGAGACACAAAATACAAAAAAGCTAATTTTGAGAACTAAGTGCTGCAATTATACTGCAATTAGGACATTTCACTAGTCCAGTTTCACTGAAAATGATATTAATTGTGCACTTCTTTTATTTAAAATCACCATTTTCTTCATTACCCAAACTGAAGCTGCCTTAAAAAAAACTCATAAATATATAAATTAATGAATAAATCAAGCAGTCGCCTTCAGGTCCACATCTGTAACGTCAACCTGAGCACACCTCCACTCTCTGATCAAAGCTGCCTCGTGCTTTCATCAACAGCTGGTGAGCATTTTCCTTTTTTTAAAAAAGGGAATGGCAATGTGGCTTGGTTATGAAACCCATCTCAACCCTCCCCTCCATCCGAGTCTCCAAACAAACACAGCTTGCCTTTGGTCTTTTATTTCACTGTCATTGATGCTATTTCATAAGGGAGTTCACTGTCTTCCTTTGATTCTTTGGCACTTTGCAAGCTTCAGTCTAGCAATCCATTAGCTCCCATTATCATCTCTACCGTCATAATTAAAGACAACAAGAAGACCCTCACCACCCATAATTTGTATCAGGTATGATTAAAAAAAAGTACAATCAAGACGACTCTTTGAGTGAGTAATGATTTTATCGTTCAGTCTACAAAATGTCAGAGAGGTTAATTGCTTTTAAATTGCTGTTGATTAATTGAATATTTGACTGATCATGTGACCACTAAAAATCTACCTATTCAACCCCTGACTTATAAGGTCTTATTTAGGCTTTGGACGAATGGATATTATTTTTTTTGTATTTCAGTACATTGCATTCCTGCTAGTAATAATAATAATGCTTCTTTTTACGTTACAGTAATCTGGTTACGATTTTTTTTTTTATGTAACTACGGTATAAGGGAATACGTTTTTTTTTACATGTATTTATTCTGTATTTATGTACTCCGTTACTCCCCAAGTTGGCGACACTTAAAGGTAGGGTAGGTAAGTTTGAGAAACCGGCTCGAGATACACTTTTTGTTATATTCCATGGAATGCTCTTAACATCCCGATAGCAATGAATATCTTAAATGCTTTGACAAAAAATCCATACAAAAATGTCATCTGTGGAAGCCGTAATACTGTAAAAAGCATGACCAATCATTTGAGCCGGCCCGGCTAAAATAACTGGATGGCCTACCTGCCTGTCAGCCTTCCATCTGTGCACAAACTTATCTCGTGCCCTCATTGGTCACGTGCGCGTTCGTGTGTGTTGGAGGAGGGGCTCTGTAAGGAAGTGGCAGATTTTTCTCCGGCTGTGTATTTTCAAATTCTAGCGCACTCGAGCTGGTTTCTCCAAAATTACCTACCCCACCTTTAACATAAGAATGATCCCAACAAGTTGGTACATACCAAGTAATGGAAATTGATTTAGTTTTATGTGCCAAGACTTTGAGGTATTCTCCTCTGAAATGTCTCCACATCAACATAATTGAGATGAAAGGAATTCTGATTATGATCCTGAAAGCTTTAAAAAATAGCATAATAAAACGTTTCAACTGCTTGCATAGTGTCTAGCTCAAAGTATCTGAAATGTCACTTCCATTGTGTTTGCTAGCTCAAAAACTTTAGCAAATAAAACCCAAACTAAGTTGCAGAAAAACATGTTTTTTGTACTTTGGGCAAACTTACCCTTTTAACTCTTAATTTATGAATGTATTCCACAAAAAAAAACACCCACATCTGAACTAAATAAACCGTCTCCAGCCCATCTTGGGTCCTAATGGGCGGAAAGTCACATTATGCTAAATGAGCAGCGGAGGGAGAGGCGCTGAGGGAGAATGGCCATGGAGACGGAAGATGAAGCGGGCAAAGCGCACTTCAGTGAGCGTAAGATCATTCCACTTCAAAACACAAGCATACTTAATGTTTCCATATAGCAACTCTTCCCTGTTATGGACAGCAGTTTTGCTGAGTGTTCCTGTTTGAACTCCTTCATCGCTCGGTGCTAACAGCTCTCAGCTCTCGCTCTCTCTGAAGACGCTCACTGAGTTTTATAAGTGTATCTTGTTCATCGGGCTAATGCAGCATTGTGTTAAAGAACTGTTACAGTACATGTATGTTTAACCAGTGGTGGTAAAAAGGGCTGTACAATTTGGAAATAATTGCAATTATTTTTGTATTTTTGTGATATTAGAGGGAATGGTTACTATTCAAACATTGTCACTATCATTGAAAAAAGGACCTCATTAATAAAAATCGCTTTTTCAAGAGAATCGGTAAGTATTTTTTATTAAGTCTTTAGAATAAATGTATTGTCTCTCAGCACAATACTTCATTCAGAATCATATATTCACATATTTTACCAAGTATTGTGTGTTTTTTTACACTAGTCCTTATCGTAAAATAATGCATTAATCATGTATGATCATACTTTCACAATGTTATTATTTTTTAATGCTTTATTCACCCAGGGCAACCAAATGATTACCTTATTTAAAATTATTTGATTTAATCCTTAACTAAATGCAAGTTACAGTGTTTGTTTAAGCACCTTTTTAAGCCTTAAAAAGCATATTTTGATGATAGGATAATAAGATCAGGATATTACGTTAATAGCAATTATTTCAGCCAGGGGAATCATGACCTCGACTTATAAAGCAACATGGATTGAAAAATGGTTCGACTGGCCTACAATCTGCTGTCAGACAGTTGAATTAACCCTTTAAAACATGAGGTTCACACATACAGACAGTTACAGTAAGTCTTCTCTCTTTCAGCTACTGGTACAAAGAACTTCTTCTAAAAATAATGTTGGGAATGTGGTTTTGAACCCTGCTCAAAGGAAGTCAAAATGAGAAGCCAAATCAAACACAAATGGGGGTAAAAGAGAATTTTTAAAGCATAAATGAATCCCAGGAGGATTGAAATTACTCCAAAAGCTAGTTTCATCTATTGTCATGCAGGGCCGTTATGTTTTAATGGTGAAATTGCACTCTATAGTTAAAAGAGTTATTTTAAATCACCTCAAGGTTGTGTACAATCATCTCTGACAAATGTAAATCCTTCTTTAGAGTGTTTACATTGAGTCAAAATATCCAAGACTCTTATGGCCCTTCCTCAGACAGCCGTCCGTTTTTTGTTTTTCTTTCAAGAAACAAGGTTCAACCCAATATCTAAAAACAACACCGGAGTCTTTTAAGCAAGACCTAAAAGCTGCTCTTTGACAAAACAAAATCTTGTTACAGAAGCAACACAAAATACTAATATGAACCATGAAATTAGCAAGATATGTCATCATTAATAACAAAAATAATCGTGGTTACTTCTGTTACTTTAAAGGGGACCTATCATGCAAAATGCACTTTTGTACGTCTTTTATACATGAATATGTGTCCCCGGTGTTCCAGGGAACTCACCAAGTGTCAGAAAACACAACCCTCTCTATTTTCCTCCATACCCAAATCTCTAAAAAAGGGGCTGCAACGGATCTGATAAAAACTGATCCAGATTTGAACACTGTCCTGACGTCAGGACGGTGGCGCTACGGCTATTGGGCCAACTCCACCAATCAGGAGGAGACAGCCACGGCCATTGCCATTCGAAAGCGCTGGATAGGCTGTAGTACATATGCCAGGCCTGTAGATGGTGCTGTTCTCACTGAATCTGCCCTTGCTAAAACAGAGCTACAAATTGTCAAATTGAGCAAAATGAGGCATGGCTAAAATGCATGATCTGTTTGGTATTTTGAAAAAAAAAAAGTATAAATATGCCTTATATAGGTATGGTCCTACACTATATTATTCAAATATAGCATGATAGGTCCACTTTAATTAAAATGCACGCATACAAATCTGTATGGAGTTGCACATAGTTTGTAAGACTGATACCACAAAGAAATCATACCATCTTTCCTCCCTTTTGTATTTTAGTTCAACTTTCTTAAATGCCAAACTTCTACACACAAACAGCCATAGATTTTCATCATTTTTCTAACTATAATAGATCAACACAATTGTATATCTGATCAGACATTCAATGCGAGATTCCAGCGATGGCACAGTGTTCAATTACAGAATTACATAAAGAATACATAACAAATCCAATGTATGTCATGTGTGATTTTAAATGTGTGCGGCTGCACCTGGGGACTGCAAGTGTCACTCAGTGTCAGTAATGTGTGTTATGTGTGTTATGTGACTGATGTGGACATGTGCAGGGTGTGTTCTTTTTGTATGCATCATGGCTGTTGTTAGAGTGGTCCTACATGTTGTTTTGTTCGCCTGTGTGTAATTGCCATGCCAGCACATTGAGTTCAGCGACCTCTCTCATCATTTCTGCCATGCATTACAGCTGAGTATCCCCTCTGTCCATCAACACGCCCTCCCCCATTACACATCTCTGTGAGGCCGGTCTCTCCTGTCGCTCAGACACACAACAAGATCTCCCAAGCAATTAGAAATTAGAAATAAGACCAATAATTTATCTTTCCCGTCCCCTCACCCAAATCTGGGTATCAACTTTTAAGCAAACTTAATTCCAACTCTACTACAAGTGTTACTCCTTATTCACAAAAAATAAAACCTTTTTTTGTATTAAAATAAGCAAATTTGAATTATTTGACTGTACTGTAGTTAATCATAGTAACACATCTTGATGGATTAGCACTGACTTGTGTATTTCAAAGCTCAGTCACAATTTTGATTTGAAACCATTTACATTTATTTATTTAATGACACCATGTGATCGCTACAAGCCTCACAACCAACCACACATCCTAAAGGTTCTGCTTTTTGTTTAACATCATACATACACAGACACATTTTTTTTTTTAAAAACCCGTTATTTTTACTAGATTAAGTGCACGCAATCTTGTTAAAATTAGTGATTGTTAAGTGTGTTGTGTTAATCCTATTGTCAGTGTCTCACCTTGCTCCTGGCAAAAAGCTGAGCTGATGAACAGTAGGGATGTTACGTATTGCGGCGAGGCTTCGGAGCGTGTGTCGTGTAATCCCGTAAGTTTTTTGTGAAGCTTGTATGGAGGCTTGTATCGTTTTGGGCCAGTGACGTCACCGATGACAAACGAAGCCTCGCTGCCTGTCGATACCACGTGACTGCTTCAGAAAGTGCTTTAGGCCCAGGCCCCACGGGAACGAACACGGGTTGTATCCGCATATTTCTCTTGCGTATAGCCCTTTTTGCCACACGACGCCGTAACGGAACGGTAGAAACGGACCCTGCAAACGACAACGGGTCCAAAGGTGGATAGATCTTGGAACGGAGCGCTCTGGGGGGTCCAACGGGGCCGTGTGGTAGCCTATACGGTCATCCTTTTCTGATAATGACGACGCAATAGCCCCGCCTCTCCCCACCTTTGCTGCTCACCCCCGCAAAAGTACACTGCACACTGAATTCAGATTATTTATCTTTATCTCGATATGGACATAAACGCGAGTGAAGTCTAATCTGACAGGACGGAGACACGCAGCTCCTCCCGCTGTGATGCAGCTAAGCAAAACACACACTTCAAGTCAGATCATCACCCTTAGCTATTTTAATTACCTCTCAAACTACCTAAACTAGTTATAAATATGTTTATTTTTACTGTCGGGTTTACTTACTGGATCAGCTGCTGCATGAGACAGACACTGACGCTGTCAGAAGAGAGGGAAAAGAGACAGGCTCCGTGTATTTTATTATTGTATATCATTATATAGAGTCGGTGTTCATTTGTTTTAAAGCTCAATAAATAACAAAGAAGACCTTTGACCGGCACTTTTATAATTTTTTCCGGAACATTTCAACTTTAACACACGTTGACCGGCGAAAAACTCTGCCCGGTTCCCTCGGCCCCCACCGCGGGGGAATAAACAGAAGTGCAGCCATGACAACCATTCTTCTTCGCTGCTTTTGTGGAGGAAGTTGCTGCTTTTGTGGAAGAAGTTACAGCGCCACGTACAGGCTCGGCATATGTACTGCAGCTTTTCCAGCGGTTGGATCTAAATGGAGCTGTCTCGTGTGGCAAGACACTATCCGGTGTATATTGCGTGTGGACGGAAGCTTTTTGGCGATTGCGTTTGCGTTAATCCTATGCGTTTTGCCGTATGCGTTCCCGTGGGGCCGGGGCCTTAGATCGGTTGAACCACAACGCTCATAATACCCATGGATGTATAATAAGAACGATGTTACCCCTCCTGTACCCGGGCCCGGTGACACGATGGAATTAAGAGAGCTCAGACCCTCACTTATATAGAGGTCGGAACATGTCATAAGTATAAATAAATAAAAGCATAAATAAATGTAGGAATAAAAACATGAATAAATGAATAAATACAGGAATACATAGCATGCAGTGTTTTCGGGTAGGTTCAGTGTGTGGGCTGTGGCTCAGCTGGAAAGCAGTTGACTCACAACCGCAGGGTCCCTGGTTCAACGACTGGTCAATAAGTCTTTTTTTTTTGTTTATAACAGCTACAGCTAAATGAGATGATGTAGTTAATAAATGTAGTCTTTGATATGGTTTAGCCTTTCTCAGGGTACAACATGGTTAAGTTTACGAATATTATTAAGGAATACAAATCCCTCTTTGCAATGTTTACCAGCCTCCTTAGGCTTTTCAATCACAATCATTAAACTGGAATAAATACAATATTGTTAACATGAAAATATGATTTTATGTTCGTTGTTTAGAGTTATTCTAAGGCTTTACTCATTGGGAACTCGGTATGAGATAGAGCACACTGTTGCGATGTCAAATCTGCCTGTTTTACACACTTTGACCAACAGGGTGGTTTGTGTTCAAACGAAACACAATTTCTCCATAAAACAGAATATTGTTTAAAGGTCCCATGTCATGGCCATTTCTACTGATCATAATTCCATTGTTGAGG